GTTATAAAGACTTGGGCGGGGGTTGAACAAATTGATTTCATTAGACTGAACAAAACTGAAAAACTGTTTTACATTTATGGAAGGAGAAGAAAAAAACAGTGATTAGATAATGTTATCTTATCCCGACCCGTCCAAGTGATGGAAGAAAATGACGAAATCATTTGGTATCTACTGGATGAATGATGATCGCTTGTCTCTCCTTTGCATGTTTGCATATATATATTTGTTGTGGATTTTAAAGATTTGTTTGTTTCTTTGTATGTTTCTTTATATATTTGTATTTTTTTTTGTTTTTTTTTGTATAGATAAATTTTATAACAGAACATGACAAAATGATCGTAGATTTTAAAACACATTCATTTGCTCATGAAGTCTAAAATAAATTTGATGAAATGATCTTCCCGTCAGATTTCATTGAGTTGGAATTAAAAAATTTCTATTTAATTTTTTTTCTTCGGCAAACAAGTCGCAATAACAGGTTGAAAACATTCTTTGAACTTTTTTAATGTAGTTTTGTGAGGTTTTCATCAGTGAACTGTGAGCGATTGAATTTTTGAAAAAAATTTCTTTTACGAAAATTTTTAGAAATAATTTTCATTTTTATCAACGCTTTCATCACTTTTAATAAGTTAATTACACACTTTTAATGGCATTATTTTTGAAACTAATTTTATCACCGTCAGTCGGTTTCATGTTTTGCTTTGAAGGAATTTTCATTTTAAAATCAGTGAAGTCCTAGAAGGCCTCGGAAAGTTTCCAATTCAATACAATACTAGGAAGTGATTGCAATATATGTACAATTGTACATGAGTACATTATGTAATAGAAGTATAAACACACATCCAACTTTTTTAATTCAATGATTCGCTGACCATAACAAACAGAAGAGGCAAATAAATTTTATATACGATAGACTGAAATGGAATTTAGAAAATGAATTTGAAAAATATTATATATATATAAACATACACACACACATACACACACACTCTTAAAACAATGATTCATAGACACACACACACATACAATACATACTTACACACACACACATAAAAAAACATTAGCAATCACAAACACAACGATCCTTTAAACACACACACACAGAGAGAGAGAGAGAAAGAGAGAGAGAGAGAGAGAGAGAGAGAGAGAGAGATGAGAGAGAGAAAGAGAGAACACCTACCTATCTTAAGTACTAGCAAATATACCCTCTTTATTTTTTATTCTACAACATTTATAACACCAGGTTTTTACGACACTAGGCCACTCAATCGCCAATTCAATTCCATTATAGACGTCACCTTGAAGATGTTTGAACTGGCAAGGTATGATATTAATGAAAAATATTTTCGGAAAATAAAAAGAAATAACTAAAATAATGTTGTCTTGTTTCGATCTAATTTACAATTTAATCAATTTATATAATTTTAAAAGAAGTGTTTTAATAATATGTAAATTAATTTACAAATCTAGTTTGTATGTTTAAAAAAGTCATTTCGTTCATGTGTGTGTTGTTGTGTGCGCGCTGTTTATACCACTTAGATTTAATTAAGAGATGATGTAAGATATTTTTTTACTAAAGACCCGATTTAAAAATTACTAAGAGAAAAAAATTCTCTATTTTTGAAAAATTTTTAATTTTATGTTGTAAGAATCTTCAAATTTTATATCCATTACATAAAAACGATCAAGTAGTCTTAAAATTTTAAAACTGAACACGTGAGGTGCATAGTAATCTGTATGAATAAATTATTTACTGACATTTTTTCAACTTTCATTTCACATTTTTACATTTAAATAAAAAATAAATAAGTTTCTTTGTCTTTTTTTCGAGATTTGAAAAGTCAGTTTTCAACTCTTTTTTAAAAATTTGCAATTTAAAAGTAAATTTTTCATGATTTTTCATCCATGGGTCCAAAAATTCAAGAATTTTTCAGGCCATAATAATGAAAAATTTTTGTACATTAATACAATCATCACGTACATTAATCAATCATAAGTCATAAACAAATAATAGAATATTAGATGTTTCATTTGAGAAATAAAACAAAAATACTCTCGATTTGGCCTCTTCAATTAAATTTTTTCGTCAAATATATTTTGCTCGAGTGAAACTAAAATATTTTTTACAAACCTCAGCACAGTGGTCTATCAAATCCAACCCTATTTAATAGTGGTTAATAGATGACAAGTCTAAATATTTATTATTACCAGGGGTGGGCATACTACGGCCCGCGAAGATATTTTATGCGGACTGCGAAGACTTGTACACCAAAAAAAATCACAGCCAGACATTAAGACCAAAAAAAGTAGCCAAAAATCTTAAAAAAATTCTCTACTGTATCAAAATTTTGCAATTTAAGTACATATATGCGGCCCTTCAAAGGTGAAATAGTTCTCAATGTAGCCCTCAGAGCAAAATTTGCCTGCCCCTGAAGTAGACTAAAAATAACCACCTATAAACTTTACTATGAGTTTTAAATGATGATTTAAATGGAAAGAAATACGGATTCTAGCATTGAAAATATTTTACACTTGAAGTGATCACGTAAACAAACATACAAACCATTCAAATAATGTCTTATTACAATTTGTTTTATAAATTTATGGTTAAGCACCATTTAAACTATTTACAAATTTTCTTTTATATTTTGTTTCTAATTTAGGAATTTTTGAAACATCGCATCTCAACTTTTTCCATGGTCATCTAAGTCTTGTTCAATTTTTGCCTGGAAAATTTCTTCTTCAATAAAAATAAATACGTTGAGACGAGCTGCATAAAATTCTCCATACATGCACTTTTTTAATGAAAATTTGACTCTTAAAATCAATCAGGAAAAAATGAAAATTTTAAAATTTCAAGTGTTTTTATGATAATTAAACCTTTTTATTATCTCTATTCAAATTCAATTTAAATAGAGAAAAGTAATAAGGATAGACTGGAGGGAGAATAAAAATGAGAAAGAAAGAGAAAGATAATTTTTGAAAAATATGAAAAAATGAAAAAAGGAAGACATTATATATTTTTTACAAGTATTAAAAATAAAATTTTAGACATCCTATCAAAGTTTTTAAACGTATTACCGGTAAAAATTCATATGAATGTTAGAAAGTATTGCAAAAAAGCAAAAGTTCTTTCATGAACTGGCGTCCAGAGAATGATTCAGCCAGCCAGGCTTGAAAGATTTAAGAATGAAAAAAAGGAAAAATTATATCGGAAATGCGCTTTTGAGGTTGAAAGAATGAGTCGCCCAGATAATTAAAGTCTGATGTGTTTTTTGTTTTTTTGCCAGAATATTGAACTCAATAGAGAAATTCTTTTTTTTTGTTTTTTTGTCTGTTTGTTTGTCTGTCTGTTGGTTTGTTTGTGTGTGTGTGTTTATTTTATCTGAATGAAAATTTCTGGTTAATATTCAAAGAATATTCCAAAAAGGCAAAAAATAAAGTGTGCCGGGCAAATTTGATGCCCGTCTAGATAGCTGGTTACAGATGTCAAAAGTTAAATGTATGCAAAAATTTCCTTTCAAAACGTTAAAAAGTTTTATTACGTAGGCACGAATTTTTATTTTATGGCTTTCATTGTGAACATTTTGAGCGTTCAGCGGTCAGGCAGATGAGCAGTTCCCTGCAATTGCACGCATGAATATGTAAATAATTATTTTTTACTGCCCGGTAAGATAGCAAGCTGATTTGGAAAATTTATAGTTTCATATTTGCGTTATGTTATAAATATTCATGAATATATTTGAAATGAATTCAAGATTGAGGGTAACAGTATAACTTACATGCCAAACGTATCCGTCGACGAATCTTGTTTCTGTTGCTGAAGTGGTCGCTTCTCTTGCAGCTGAATTTGTTCTTTGTCTTCATTGTTTTCTTTTGACGTCAACGCTAATTTAGTATTCACAGCTTGTTTTTGTTGCAATGTTTGTTGCTGCGACTGCGGTTCAACTTCAGACAAATTTGAAGTGGTGGTTGTAGCTGTGGCTGTTGCAGTCGCGTCATCAAACGTTGAAGTTTTCATGAGAGTAGGCAGAGATGGCAGGGTGGAAGGCCGCCTAGCCATGGAAAGGGTCATTTTGTCGATGCTATGTTGCTGATGCATCATTAGCAAATGTTGCTGCTGAACGCTGGTCTGATGTTGCAGTAGTGGTTGCTGCTGCTGTTGCTGCAACGAGTGTGGATGATGATGAAGATGATGATGATGGTGGTGTTGGAAATGGGAAGGTAGTTGCTGAAATATCGAACTAGCTCGTCGTTTAGTTTGTCTCGCAAAAGAGTTTTGTTTCTGTTTGGCGTCTTGCGGTTGCGACTGTTGCGACAGTTGTGGCTGTGGATGTGGCTGTTGTTGCTGACACGTCATGGACATAGAGAGTCCCAAGGAGAGGGATGCAATAGAACTTAATCCCATTGATGTATCCATCTTCTGGAAGATTGCTGTACGGTGAAGAAGATGATGAAGTTGAAGATGATGATGAGGATGAAGAAGATGATGAGGATGAAGATAATGATTAACGAATCATCTCAGTGATGTTGTATACATCGTCAATCATAATGATGGCCGGTGAGAAATGAATTAATTTAGAAAAGATTTACAAAGATCATTTATGAAACAAAATGGAAAAATTCCAATTGAGTGAATGAATGAATTGTTGAATAATTAAATGAATCATTTTATTGTGCATCACGTGTATCCGGTTTATAATTAAAAAATAAAAACTGGCAGTAAAAAATGTTTCATTGAATTCGGTATTTTATTGAAAAAATATGATCTGAAAAAGTCAGACGATGATCACAACGGTCAATGATGATAGATTGCGATACGGATATTTTAATTGATAACAATCGAAATGTGGTTTAAATTAAATTTGTCATTGTTACAAAATTGCATCATCGTCGAAGGTATCGTCATCATTATCAGTATTATCATCGCCATCATCACCATCATCATCACCATAATCATCATCATCATCATTACCATCGTCATCAACCTCATCATCGTCATCATCATCATCAGCAGCATCATCATCACTCACTTCTCCTCCTTGGTTTGCACGCTGCAATCTCTTCCTCCATGACTCCCACCTCAGTGCAGAGGCGCTTCAAGTTGGCGATCTCTCTCTAAGGAACGATTGACGTTTAAGAAATAAATTTCATTCATTCTTTCATTCATTCTTTTATTTGATTGTTTGACTTTTCATTCGTTCGTTCGTTCTTTTGTTCATTCATTCATTCGTTCGTTCGTTCGTACGTTTATTCATTCATTCTTTCATTATTTCATTCAATCGTTCGTCCGTTCATTCATTTATTCATTAGTTAGCTCGTTTATTTTATAGTTATTTAAAATAAAATCGCTTAAAAAATTATATATCACATCACTGATTTTAATTGAATCGTTTAACTAATTAATTAATTAATTAGATATTTAATGAATTCATTAATCGCTCCAATTAAATCCTTTAATTAGTTTCTAATCGTACATCATACAAATGAACCAACATCCTTCCAGTTCTTGTCATCCTCCAGATACTCCACTCTCTTCTCGGCTCTCCTCCGCGCTCTCTTCTGCAGCTGAATCCGGAAGTCATGCCTCTTCTTAGTCGTTATCATTATCCCTGAGAGTAATGGAAAGTTATGACGTCATCTTAATTTTTAACACGTCAGCGTTTATTATTACGTCATAATTGATGTCACGTGGTGTCGTTGTAGTACTGACATTATGATGACGTCAACAATGGAATGTTACGTCACTTTTTTTTGTTATTGTCATTATTTCTAATGGCGGATCGTTAAGGCGTCATCATTTTTTTTGCGTCATCACTGAATCGTATAGTTTTTTGAGCAGTTTTTTACGATTCAATGTTTTGTTCCGTTAAAAAACATTGTGTACGTGCGTAGCTTGCATTCGAACCTGGTTAGAGTAAAGCCTTTTGAAAAATTTTGTGTTAAAATAAATTTCCCAACAACTTAGCCAATAATAATCATCAATGAGAGTTACAGCACTCCACACCAGCAACAGCAGCGATGAAATGGTCGTCACCAAAACTACTACACCACACCGCCACCAACAACCACACCAAAATCACTAAACACCCACCAAAGCCACCACATTACAACCATCAAAGCCACCAACAACAACCCAACCACACCACACCACAGTCATCAGAGCCACCGTCACAAAAACTGACCGTTGACCACTCTGAGAATTCTCCACAGAAGAAGGATGATAAGGATGACGACAGCCTCTTCTTCCTGCTTGCCCGTCACGCCATCTATGAAGGCCAGGTCAAGGACGAATGACGTCATCACAATGACCGCGTCCAGTATCTAGGAGATAAGTGGTTATTGAGATGATTATGATTTAGTAGATTTAGATGACCTCATTCAATTATAAGAATGATCATGATTTAGTATTGCAGACCGTCTGTTGATGGTAGTCTGACAACCATTGTTGTTTATATTAAATGTAATTCCATCAGTATTATTTGTTGGTATATGGTTGCTATTGTAATGTAAAGCTAGCCACACACCTTGATGGTATCATTTCAAAAATTATGTACATCTTACACACAAAACCTCTAGCACTATCATACTACACACACACAACACACACAAACACACACACACACACTCTAACCTCAACTTTCTTCTTAAAAAATTCAAGTCCCATGCCAAATATTTTTAAGAAGACCTGATGTAAGAAAATTAATAATTTATTTTAATTAGAATATTTGTTATAAATATTCATGAATAAAAATATTTTGAAAATAATCAATTTTCTATACTATAACCTAAAAATTCTTTCTCTAACGATTTCAATTGAAGATAAATTGCTATTTTTAAAAATTATATATTAAATTTTAGCTTTTCCGTGAAAGGTGACACGCAATTTATAATTTATTTGAATGCCAGAAAAATCAATCCCATTCAGAAAGCGAGATGACAGAAAATTTGTTAAGAACCATTCAAAAGTGGAATGTATGTTTGTTTGTTTGTGAATTTGCTCTTCACTCCTGCTCTTCAGTGCTTGAACGTGAATTTTTTTACAAACAAGCATACAAACAACATACAAACCTGCATACATACATACTTACATACATACACACACACACACGACACACACACACAAGCAACACATATATACATAGTTACATACTTTTTACATACATAGATACATACATAAATACATACACACACACAACACATACATACAAAGATACATACTTTTACAAACACACATACAGACAAACATAAAACACGTACAGGCATTAACAAGATTAAAGTCAGTTAGCATGAAAGAAGTAATTCTATTGCGTCCTTCTATTGTACGTGATCATTGCTAGAGAATTATCATCAGTCTCTTTGTTCTTATCATTCTATAAACATCATCATACTCATCATCATCTCTATAGTGTTCTTCATCATCATCATTTTCATCATGTACAGAGTGTTCTTCCTCATCATCATCTTCATCATCATCATCGTCGTCCCCATTCTTACTGATCTATCGCCATCATTCAAGTCGATTCTATTTAACGTTTCTAAACTCATCTTCTGCATTTCTAATACGTTGGCAATACCCATTAACATTGTCTCTATCATTAATATTGTCATCTTAAGCATAATTATCATCATATTCGTCGTCATCATCTTTTTCTTCATTTTCATCGTCATCTTCGTCATGAGCATCTTTCTTACTTATTATCATTATAATCATCTTTAGTATCGTCGTCTTCATCGTCATCATCACCGTTGACATTATTTCGTCTCTTATTATCATCGTCTTCATCGTCAATATAACCGTCATCTTCTTTTTTAGTAATGTGTGTAAAATTCAGTAACATAGTCGTTTGAAATAAACATGAACATCATCTTTATCATCAGCATCATCACCACGTCATCACAACGTCATAAACCATGTCATCATTGCCAACTTGACTCACTTGTACAACAAAGACGCCCAGTATGGCGATACTGCAGAAGTGGACAATGTGGATGATATGCAGAAGGTCATTCACATACTCGGACTTGCTAGGATCGTAATGATCATCATGATGGTGGTGGTGATGGTGGAGATGATGATGTTCGTGGTGATGTTCATCGTTCGTGTGATGGTAATGATGATGATGGTGATCGTTTTCATCAGCAGTGAGGGAGTGCGTGTCGTTGTCGTGAGTTCTGTTGTTGTTGGTGGTGGTGCTGTTGCTGCTGCTACTGCTACTGCTGATGCTTTTGATTGATTCATTGGTGACGTTTTTATGTAGTTGGATGGTGCTGTAGTTGTTGATGTTGTAGTTGTTGCTGATGTTTTGAACGTCCTTTCTATGCTCGTTGATGTTATTTAGTGTTTTGTCGTTGATGTAATTTATAAAACTGTCATTTTTGTTGTCGTAATTGTTGTTGCTGTAATTTTTGTTGTTGCTGATGCGATGATTTTTGATGTGATTGACGACATTGCGGTCGGCGTCTGTAATATATTTCAACACATGTTGTTGTTCGTGGGTTGAATTAATCCGCTGTTGTGGATTGTATGCTGTCAACAATGTTGATGTGCCTACATTATCAATTTGTTGTTGTTGTTTTTGTTGATGTTTTTGTTGAATTTTTTGAGAGGGTTCCGATTCTCTTGAATGTGATTGGAGCAAATGACGTTTTTTTAGTTGATGAGTCTTCTTCAGATGTCGTTGGAGGGTTCGCTTTTGAAGCTGCCGTCGCCGTCGTTGGTGCAGCAAAAATTGTTGTGGCTGTGGCTGATGTAGAAGTAGTAAATTTCGGGTTCGCCCGTGAACGTCTGCTAAGAAATAAAATTCATCGTGCTTGCATTTATTAATAATTCAGTATCATTCTTTATGCCAATAGTTGTAGCAATAGTAAATGTCGAAGAGTAATTAGGATAGTATTTGTAGTTGTTGTAACAGAGATTGTAGTTTTAAAAGCGTTAATTATAGTAGTAGCAGTAGCAGCAGTAGTAGAAAGAGCAGCAAAAATATTTATAATTATACATAAACTCAGTAATTTAACCAGCTGTAGTTGCAACGGTTGTTGCTGGGGCGCGAGTTTTAGTAGCAGCAGTCTTCATAGTATTTGCGGTTGTAGTGGTAGTAGTAGTAGTAGTAGTAGTAGTAGTAATGGCTGTCGAAGCAGTAGTAGTGGCTGTTGTTCTTCTGACACTTACCAGCCATTTGAAAGGGGCACCAAATAATAAAGCACTTTCATTATTGCTATCTCGAACAGATGACACCAATGATGGTGACGACGACGACGATGATGGAGAAGATGATGATGATGTAGAAGATGATGATAATGATAAAGATGATGATAATGATAATGGGGATGACGATGGTGATGATGGTAATAGCCGGAGATAATGTAATTTACTTATCCGTTCTTGTAATGTATTTCCATTCCTGGTCTTTTTAGCTGATGCTTTGGATGTTGTAGTTGCTATTGATGTTTTTGCTGTTGTTGTTGTTGCTGCTGTTGTTGCAGATGTCGTTGTTGTTGCTGTTAATGTTGTTGTTGATGTTGCAGATGTTGTTGTTGTTGGTGTTTTAGTTGATGCTAAATTTAGTGGTTTAATTTCGTTCTGTTTTGAAAATATTTTTAAATTATATAATAAAGATGATGACGTTTTTGTGGCTAGAGGTGATAACGATGTTGTTGCTGTTGATGACGATGACGATGATGATAATGGCAATGATGGTAATGATGTTTTAGTTGTGAATTTGTTGTCTATTGCATTAGCTGTGTTGGGCGTTCGAGTAATGTTTAGGCTTTCACTCAATTCATTATTCAAATTCGGTCTAGCATGTCTTTGTTGTTGTTGATGTTGCTGATGTTGTTGTTGTTGTTGATGATGATGTTGTTGCTGATGATGTTGTCGTTGTCTTTGTTGTTGTTCATGTACTAAATTTTGCCTATATTGTTTTTCGTTTAGAGATTTTTTATTTCTCAGGCTTAATGTGCGTAAATCGTTCCCTGCAAGTTTAACATGTGATGGTTTTAATGGTCCATACAACGACGACGATGAAGATGATGGTGACGAAGATGATGACGACTGTGATGATGATGATGCTGTTGAGGAGGATGACGTAGAATGTGACGTCAGGAAAAATGGCGACGCTAATAAGTGAGTGTCACCATCATTGGTTGAAGCAAGGTTTGAGTTTGTTCTTGTACCATCCACTTTGGATTGGTTGTCTGTTTGAAGTATTTTTAATTTGGCCGTATTTGATGTTGTTGACGATGCAGTTGTATTGGTTAATGTCAAGTGAATATACGTTAGTGAAGAGGATGTTGTTGAGTTTGTTTTCGTTAATGTTGTGTTTGTTGATGACGTCGTTGATGTTACTGGTAATTTTGTTGGTGCAATTTTTGCCTGAGGAACAGCTGTTAGGCCTGAATATTGATCAGTCGATCGATGCAAATGTTCCTGCCTTCCTTCGTAGAAAGCTTCAACCGCTGACAGAATCATTTTCGTGACAGCTGAAAACGTCGTGGTTGTTTTTGTTGTTGTTGTTGCTGCTGCTGTTGATGTTGTTGTTGTGCTGGTTAGTGTGCTTGCAGTTATTTTCACAGCTGTCGTTGTTGTAATATTTGTAGATGTTAACTTTTCAGAGGTTTCAATTCTGGTTTTTTCGGAAAATTTTGAAACTGTTGTCGACGCATTTTTCCCTACGATCGGTGTTGTTGTTGTTGATGTTGTTGATGATATTTGTGATAGTAGCAATGACTTCGTTGTTGTTGTAGTTGTAGTTAATAATTCTGTTAAAAGTACAGCTGACGTCGTTGAGAAAGATATCTTTGCGAAATATGACGCGGTGACTGCTGTTGCTATATCTGGTGGTAAGGTGGAAAGTTCTAGAACTGGCACTGGTGAATTTGTTGAAACTTGCTGACATTGAACGGCGGCCCTGCCCGTGTTAATGACTTGATTCCCGACAATACTTTCAAACAAAGGTGAAGCGGGAGTTTTATTGTAACCATCAAAGACCTCGTAAAAATGGTTACAATAGGTTGTGTAGTTGTTGAAGTCGCTGTAGTTGCTGCTGTTGACGTCATGTCGTCGCAGAACGATGAACTGTTGCGAGCTGAGATGCTGTACGATGCCCTTAACTCCGACCATGTCAGTGCAGCAGTCTGATTCGTTCTTGAAAGTTCTCAACAGGAAGTCACGTGCTACGTGGAGATCGCTTGTGACGTCATTGTATTGACCTGGTTGTCATGTGACGTGTGCGATTGAGGTGGGGTCGGTTATGTTTATGTTTGTGTTGATGTAATTTGGACTTGCGTGTTAGTGTGCATATGTGTGTGTGTGTGCGAGTGTGTGTGCGTCTTTATATGGGTTTAACGGTTTTGACATTGAAAATTTTTCAACCAGTTTTTAAAAAATGTTTAATATTCATTCAATGCTGATTTATTCAAAAATTAAAATTTTAAATAAAATTCATTTTGATAATCTTTCGCCTTAATTTTTCCTCAAAAATTTCAGAAT